TTGAATTCAACCCTGGGGAGCCACCGATCAATATCTCTTGACTCTTCTTACCCGTTAGTTGTTCTCTTTCTGTGCCTGACGCCGAGTGAGGCCTGAGCTATTCTTTGTCATGGCCCCTTCTCGGTTGGCCCAGCTAACGCTATGGGTGGGACGGCTCCCTCCATCCACGAGGCAGAGTGCACAGGCAGGGCAGAGCATGGATGCAGTACATGGCGTGGCTTCCCTTGCTGCTACAGCTGCATGCTCCGAGGCTGTGGAGGAAGCTCGGGTATTTTACCTCTTTGTGAACCTATTCACCAAATACCATGAAGAGTATTAACTGTCCTCTTAACTCACAAAATACTGTAAGATGGAAAATTATAAAAATGCATTGAAAACAATATTCCAAAGAAACAGGGTTTATTATTGTATATGTCTCTTCTCCTTTTTTAGTACACATAAGTGACTTCCTTTTTTATTGATATATCTGTAGCTCATCTGGTCTTTCCTGCCCCAAATATTGATACCTATTTTTTCTCATGAATCAGTTTTAACTTATAGAACACACACACACACACACACACACACACTCACACACACACTCATACACACACACTCACACTCAAACACACACACGCACGCACACGCACACTCACACACACATTCATACACATACACACTCACACTCATACACTCATATACACACACACTCATACACTCATATACACACACACACACTCATACACACACACTCACACTTATACACACACACTCACACACTTGCACACACACTAGATTTACCTCCAATGAGAACTTCTCTCAGCAGTGATTTTGGAGGGTGGGAGATTGGGTTCAGAGAAGGAGAAAGACATAGCTGTTGTAATTTTTAATCTTAATTTTTTAAATGTTGCTCAAAAATACTTTATATATGAAACGCTCTCTGGAATGTTTTTTTGATTATCAAGGCCTTACCAAGGCCTTAATTCTAAATGGCAACATTAAAATGAGTGTAAGAAATTTATAGGGAGACTGAATTCCTATCTAATAGTAAGTTAGGTACTTAAAAAAAATTAGGTAGTATTTATAGTAATATTACATAGTATCCCGTCATCAACAAAGTTGGTCAGGAAAACCAAATATCTAAACCAACTCAGTGTTTAATGATTGGACCAATGTCTTAATCTCTGTATTAATGTATAAATGAACCCCCCAATATTAATATTGGTAGGACTTGGATGCTAGATGCCAATTTCCTTCAAATAATGAGGTAGCAGATTGTAGGATGATTAGAACAAATCTGAACATGACACTGGTTTTAAGAGAAATGTATTTTAGTGTTTTTTAGGTTTAAAAATAAGAAACATTTTAGGAGTTTAAATGGACAAGATTTCAGAAAATTGTAGTTCTCATATCCTGTCGTTGATTATTAAAGAAAAGGGTGAGAAATTCTATTTTTTTAAAATATATTTCTTTATTGATTTCAGAGAGTGAGAGAGATAGAAACATCAATGATGAGAAATACTCACTGATCAGCCACCTCCTGTACGCCCCCAACTGGGGATGGAGCCTGCAACCCAGGCATGTGCCCCTAGCCAGAATTGAACCCGGGACCGTTCAGTCCGCAGACCAGCGCTCTATCCATTGAGCCAAACTGGCCAGGGCAAGATAAATTTTATTTTAACTGTCATGAAATATTTTTTCACTTAAAAAAAAAAAAAAAGCCATGGCTATGTATTAAGGGTTCTTCTTTTCCTTAGTTGAAAACAGCCTGTTGCTAACCAAATATATATTACTATCACTTCCTCTCTCATTTGGTTCATCCTTCCCCAATTCTTTTTAATAGCATACCAATGCATTCTAAAACTGAATTATTGTTTTAGCCTTTGATTCTCAGAGAAAGAGGAAAATGTAAATTTGTCCTTTTATTAATCAATATATATTCTAATAGATTATATAATCTCAAAATTCATCTTGGTCTGGATAATCAAGATCATTTGAATGTTTAAATGCAACACAACTATAATAAAAGAAATCCCAAAAATTTGGAATCCAGTAGAATTATACAACAGCCAATCTATTTGCTGATTAGATTATAATCTATGGATCCTACGGAGCATTTCATCTTTTCTGTACAAATGACAGAGACTCAGGCCATCAAGTAGAACGAAAGGCCTTACTATCGTAGTGTAACTCATAGAATGTGTAACTCATAATGGGAGACAGCCAACGTCCCAACTTATAGCTTAAGTAAGCCACGGGAATTCCGCTCCTGCCACGTTGGAAAATAGCAGCATACTAAAGATTTCAGAAGGGCTTTCAGTGTAAGGAGTGTTAATCACTAGGACAAAGTTCCAAATAAGAGATCTGACACAAGCGGTACCAATAAAAGTACTGATTACATGTAAAATTATAAGCCAAGTGTTCACATCGTCAGGGTTTGAGGAAATCACTTTCTAATATTCTTTCTTAAAAGGAGGATCTTATGACATGCTGACAGAGGCCTGTGGTAAGCTGAAGAGCCTGCTAACTGGCTAGATGGTCTGAAGTAGTTATACTTCCAGATTGGTAGTTATGTTGGTCCAGCTTGGCTTGACTACCCTGAATCAGCTATGAAGTAACCCAGTCTAGGTAGAGGTTTAGGAGCTGGAAGCATGAACAGCCCCTGCCAAGATAAGTCCCTGACATAATCTCTTTTTCACATCCCCTTGCCCCAGCTCCTGCTCTTTCCCGACCTGCCAAAAATCTACATTCAATATACAGTATCTGAAATGAGTCCAGAGAGTGTAATGAAGAGCATGAGTTTTAGAGCTGACAAACGTAGCTTGGAATTCCAGATCAGCTACTTACAAGTTGTGTGGTCTTGGTTAAGATATTTAATTTTTCTGGGCCTCACTTTCCTCATCTGAATATATGAATAAAGGGGACAAACATGTTTACATCACAGAATCACCAGGAGTATTAATTATTTTACCCCACTGTCTGCAATATAGCAGCCAAAAAAAGTACCAGTATTATTACTGTTAAGTTTTCTAAATAGTCTTTATATGTCTGCTATGTCAAGAAAAAATAGAATCAGAGGCAGAATTAATACCTAGAAAGTATCCACCCTTTCTACTAAAGGACTTTGTTGATGACGGGATACTATGTAATATTACTATAAATACTACCTTGCTACATTTTAGAAAAAGGTTTTATAAGTGGATACTTCCCTGAATCTCATCAATTATCAGTTGGGTAACAAACATTTGTATAAGTTTTGGATGGCAGCAAAATAGCCATAAAAAATATTTGGAATTCACAGCATTATTTAAAATTGTGGTCTTCTCAGTTTCATCAAAATTAAAACTTCTACTATTCAAAAGATATCATTGAAAAATAAAAAAGCCACAAAGATATATGTCCAGAAAAGGACTTATATCCAAAATATATGAAGAACCCTTACAACTCAGTAGTAAGAAGACAGACAACACAATTAAAACTGGGCAAAAGGTTCTATAAGATTCACAAAACAAGATGTATGCATGGCCCATAAACGCGTAAAATGAGGTTCAGCCTCCTAAGTCACCAGGAAAGTGCAAACTAAAATCACAATGAGTAACTACTCTTTGGTACATAGCCATTAAAATGGCTAAAGTTAGAAAGACTGGCAACACTACATTGGTGGGAAATATTACAACCATTTTGGAGAACCGTCTGGCAGTTTCTTATAAAGTAAATGCTTAACACCAAACCAATCATTCTCCTCCTAGGTACTTGCTCCCCAGAAAGGAAAGCCTTTGACTGTACAAAGATCTACATACACAAAGACTAGCAGCTTTGTTCATAATAATCCTAAAGTGGAAATATTAACATGTTCATTAACAGATCAGTAGTAGGCAAATTTTAGTACCTACATAGTGTGACATACCACCCAACACTAACAAACTACCGAAACACTATAATCTCATAAAGCTAGTGAGTGAAAGAAGACACAGAACAAAAAGCACAGACCGTGTGATTCCATTGGATGCGTCTATGAAGTTCTAGAAAAGGAAGATCAGGGCCAGAGGGCAAATGACTGCAAGGGAACATGAGGGAACTTTCTGGAGTGACGGGAGTGTCCATCTTGATTGTGGTGGTGGCTACACAGATGTACACGTTTTCCAAAAGTCATTGAAACATATACTTCAAATGCAAGTGTTTTATTGTACGTATGTGTGTACCTGTATAGTGATGAATTGGACTTTACCTCAGAAGAGGTGTGGCCTTTGACCCCAGACACGTAAAGACTAACCACTAAGCCCTTGGAATGTCTTTGTTTACCTGGGGCCTTGGGTTATGCCAATAGGCTATCAATCCAAGTAGTATTTAGGGTGGGGACTGACCACACCATTCAGACCAGCAGTGTGACATGGTGGAAGCTTTGGGTCGCACAGTATCAGCTGACCACAGGGGCAGGAGACTGAGATTAGCCTCATAAGCAGTAAATCACGCCTCTGTGACGGAACCTTAATAAAAACCCTGAGTCACAAGCCTCAGGTGAACTCCCCCAGCTGGCAATGTCCCATCGGTTCCACACAGGGACCAAGAAAGCACATCCAAGATTGCTTTCAATTAGTTATCAGTATGAAAATTTGACACAACCTATGGTCACAGGAAATATTGTACAAAACAATGGAAGCTCCGAAGTTAGTCTTTTCCTGGGTTCTTCCTTCACTAGGCACTTCCTCCCGTGCCTGATTTTAATCTGTCTCCTTTCCCTGTAACGAACCCTAACTGAGAGTATTACAGCTTCCAGTATATTCTGAGTCCCGTTAGCACATTATCAAACCTGGGGGTGGTTTGGGGAACATCCCAGAACGTGCAGCGGGTGGCAGCAGGAAGTGTGGTCTTGCAGAGAAGTGTTTTTTTTGTTTTGTTTTGTTTTTTAATATATTTTATTGATTTTGTACAGAGAGGAAGGGAGAGAGATAGAGAGTTAGAAACATCGATGAGAGAGTCATCGATTAGCTGCCTCTTGCACACCCCCTACTGAGGATGTGCCCGCAACCAAGGTACATGCCCTTGACTGGAATCGAACCCGGGACCCTTCAGTCCCCAAGCCGACGCTCTATCCATTGAGCCAAACCGGTCTCGGCTTGCAGAGAAGTGTTTTCCCGCTAACTCCACATTTTCCTAAACCACAAGGGGTTAGCTCTAAACATTAGCAATATCATATCACAGTTAGGATGATTTTATATATATATATATATATATATATATATATATATATATATATATATATATATATAATTTTTTTTTTAACGTGGTCCTGCCAGGCTGGCGAGGTTCAGTGATTGAAAATCAATATATGAACCAGCTGGTCACGTTTTGATTCCCTATCAGGGCACAAGCCCGGGTTGCAGGCTTGATCCCTAGTGTGGGGCATGCAAGGGGTAGCCAATCAATGATCCTCTCTGGTTGTCGATGTTTCTCTCTCTCTCTCTCTCTCTCTCCCTTCCTCTCTGAAATCAATAAAAATCTATTTTTTTTTTAAATAAAGAAAATGTGGTCCTTTTCCCCCACCTAAAATGTGTCTACTAGTATGTCTGTATATATTTGAGTGTGTGTGTGTTTGTGTGTGTGCACGTGCGTGTGTGTGTGTGTGTGTGTGTGTTTGTGTGTGTGTGTTTACACACAGGCCCCACCCCCACCCCCATGGAACACTGCTTTTGATGCTAGGAAAGATCTCTTAAAAGGCAATAGAGGGAGCACCTTAATATTTTGTGCTCCAAATTTTAAAGGTATAAATAAATCTTTATGAACTTAGAAAAACCATGGAAGAACAGGCATCAACTATAATACTTAACAGAAAGTATCTAGGCAAACTGGTAAGAGATAAGCACAAGAGGGTTGCCGCCTATCATTTATTCTCTATAAGTATTATTTAGGTGTTATGGTTAAGGGTCATTTTCCTTATATTTTCTGGATTTTCCAAATGACTGAAAGAATAAATGTATATTGGGCAAATTTAGGAATATATACTAATGTATATTAGTTATCAATATGAAAATTTGACACTTAACAACCTCTGATCACAGAAAATACAAAACATTTCATGTCATTTATACACACACTCTTGTTGCAGAGAAGAACAATGGTGACCAAAGCTTTTAAGCATGAAACACTGTATATTAGTGTAAAATTCTGTAAAGGAAATAAAATGGGAAACATATATTAGAAAGGAAAAGGAGCCGAAACCGGTTTGGCTCAATGGATAGAGCGTTGGCTTGGGGACTGAAGGGTCCCGGGTTCGATTACGGTCAAGGGCATGTACCTTGGTTGTGGACACGTCCCCAGTAGGAGGTGTGCAAGGGGCAGCTGATCGATGACTCTCTCTCATCGATGCTTCTGACTCTTTATCTCTCTCCTTTCCTCTCTGTACAAAATCAATAAAATATATTTTTAAAAAAGAAAGAAAGGAAAGGGAGTGATATGAATTATCAAACTGTGAATAATAAGCTCATTTTGGCATTTTAAAGAAAATACATGATGGTGGCTATCAAATATCTACAGTCCTTTGCATTCAATTCGATTCATTTAGAAGAATGACATTAACAATTTTATTTAAAAAGTCGGTATTTACAGCATGTCAGAAGTGATATCTCTTTTGTTATCTAAACTTTTGCTGAATAATTTTTACATGCACTTAAAAGTTTGTGGAGGTGCATATGTTTTCAATTTATTTTAGGGGTACATGAGTAAAAGGTTTGATGGGCACTCACATTAGCTCTAAACTACAGTTGGCAATCAGTAGAAAAAGGCAATATTCAATCTAACCCAGGGAGACTCTGCCACCTGGTGGTGAGAAATGTCCATGCTCACAGGCAGGGATAAAAACCTTCCCTTCACCAGAGTGAAGAGATGAACTGGGTCATAACATGTAGACTCAGGGAGGTGCATTATTTGATTACAAGACACCTGAATACAGAGAAGGAAATAAAATCATTCATTTGGAATATCATCATTGGAAATTGCCATCAGTAGTTTTTTACTGGGCAGGATACTATCTAAAATCCCTCACCTAAGATCAACTAATTTGTAATGAAATTCTTAAAATGATAATGCATACATTTATATCTTTTGTAAACTTAAGTAAAACCAATTTTCATCTGCCATTTTATTGTAGAGAAACAGAAAAAACATTTTGACCCATTTATATAGAAAAGAGAAATCATCAAAGATTCCACTATTTAACTATATTGAGAAAACACATGTTAATTGTTATTATCTAGTTGTTCAAAACTCCTGTGGACTACTGATGTTTTAATTTGTCAATGTTCCTATCAAAAATAAGCAAAAAGACAAAGAACCATGGGCTTTGTCATAGGGAATCCAGTAACTGTATTTCTAACTTCCGGAACATGACTCGACAACTCCTCAAACTTATAAGGTAATAGAACTTTTTAAGTGGTCCCATTTCTAGGATCAGAGAGTTGACCTTCCATGTGTGTTCTTCCACTGTATCCTTAGGTAACTTGGAGTAGGCAGAAGAGAGAAGATATTTTCAAGATGCAGCATCACAATCTTCAGGGCTGTTGACCGCACACAAACCAGACTGCAGATGACTTCGGAACTCCCCGTCACTTCAACGTAAGTGCCTATGGAAGTATATGTCTGACACATCCGGGTACAAAGACATTTTCATCTTAATAGGTGCTGTGAAAAATGGCTGGTTTTATAATTCCCTTCAGAGGAGAAAGGAACCAATCTGTCTATATAATAGAGGAATAAGCAAATTAGCCAAGACACCATAACGTCACAACCAAACAGCAAGGATCTGAGGCAACATGGTGTCTGGCTGGAGTGAGGGACTGCAGATTGTGCCCCCTGCCCTGCAGGGATTGACGGGAGACCTCAGGTCTTGCCCCTCCACTCTGAGGGGCTTGACAGGGGTGGGGTCGGCTGGGTCTGGGTGTTTTTGAAGCACATGCAGGTGGTGGGTGGGGACTTGACTCTAGATCTCACAGTGCACCCCAGATTCTGACAGGAGGGAGATTTTCATATACATTTTACTAATTTCTTTCATCTCTGACACTTCTATTATAGAGAAAGGGCAAGTAGCAATATTAAAATATTTCCTCTAATTAATTCCCTTTCAATGTGCATGAATTTTGTGCACTGGACCACTAGTGTAGAAATAAAGATAAAGACAAATGTGGAACATATACCTTAGTTAAATACTGACTGGAAAATGGGTTAAGAGTGGAAGACAATCAGATTGAAACAAATCTGCCAATTTGACTTCAATTCCAGTTAAAGTGGAGATGGAGCTAATTCTTCTCTCATCATCACTAAATCTATTTTTTTAAAAAAAGTAACTTAAAAATGATCATTCCATGTCTCAAGATGAAATGGGGATATGGAGTTAGGAATCTGGCATTGGCTTTTTCTCTGTTCCATGAATTTAAAAGTCCCTGGAACACAAATGATTGAATATTACTGACTGGTAATCCCAAAGGAATGGTTAGCCTTTACCAGCATTTAGTGTCTCTCAGTTTTAAACTGGACGTCATTTTCTCGGGCGATTCCACCACCTGTGCTCCCATGGGTGCAAAAGGCTGGTTTGGTTGAAGTGACAGCATTTTAGCTTCAAAGAGTTTTAAATGAGCACTAATGGTTTGACCTCTCAGAATAAAGAATCCAGTCCTCTTCTTTTGAGTAGATCCAGAATCAGAAATTATGGGGTTTTCACAATTATTTCATAAACTCTGACGTATGAGCTCTTTCTCTTTCAGAGCAGGAGGAGAGAATGCTACATAACAACCAACAGCTGAACAAAAGTGTCTCTTGGACTTGCCTCCACCTTGTGGCTCAGGAGTCAAATTCTCCCACAAACTTAAAGAACCTTTTAGCCTGCCGGGGCCCAGAACGGAAAATCTTTTTTTTTTTTTTTTTTTTTTACCATTACTACAAGCATTTATTCCTCTTTCATGTTACAACCAGTGGCTGCAGGGCAGCTGCTGCAGCTCTGCTCCACTGTCTTACCATTCTGGTGCCCAAGCTGAAGGACAGCCCTAATCTGGGAAATAAGTTTTCATGGCAAAGGAGAAAGAACATGAACCTTCCACACCATGGCTCTTCAGGGGAGTACACTCCTCCCCGGGGGAAGGGGTGGGTGGGCACTGCAAAAAGTCCCATGGCTATGTGTAAGGGCATATAAAGCCCTCTAGGTACAACTTATGACAGTGACTCAACATGCCAAAAGGTTTTCCAGTTTAAAAGGCACAAAATCCTAAAATGTGAAAAACTGGGGAAGAATTCAGAGTTCACTGTCCAAGTGTATCATAGTCCTCCATCCTGCAGAGATCAGGAAAACTGGCAAACCTTTGAGGGGTTCTGGAGAATGCCAGATTGTTGGTGTTTACAGATGTAGAAACAGGACCCAGATTTCCTGGCCCCATCTTGCTCCAAGGTATCTTCAGTCAGTATCCCACAGAGCAACCCTCCATGCTCATGAAATAACTGGAGGCCAGTCTCAGCTTTAGTGCCTTAAATTACAGACATGGTTTGTATATAGGCAGTTTGAGGGCTAGCTTCTCCAAAGCCTCTAGCTCTGCAAAGGTTCAGAACCGGATCACTAGATCCTGAGTCAGTCCAGGGAGTTCCATGGGTCAGTTGCTGTGGTAATTGCAACACATGGTCCCTTCAGGGAGGGAGGCTGGTAGTTAGCACAGCTCAGAGTCCTAAAGGATGCCATGACCAAGGCACAGTTTTGTATCAACAGAGGAGAATGAAGACTAGCTTAGGTCCATCACTTTGATCAGAGCGGCTGCAGCTCAAGGAAGTCAGCAGCTCTTCCCCCCCCCCCCCCCCCCCCCCCCCAGTGTGAGGAAGGACGGTCTCCAAGGTGACGGAAAAAAGTGTTGGATTCTAGGACTATGTCCAGCTGATTTAAGTATGCTGTATTCCGGGCAGAGGTGGATATGGGAGAAGATCCAGGTGCCTGGCTCTGCAGCCTGGCTCAGTCACTTTACCTGGTGCACCTTTCTCCCCTGGAGATAATTTCTACAAAAAGGAGAGGATTCCACACAGACTAAAAATGCTGGTGTCAGGGTTTTTACGAAGTACCTGGCCAGCGTAGCTCAGCGGTTGAGCATCACCAATAAACCAGAAGGTCATGGTTCAGTTCCTGGTCAGGCCACATGCCTGGGTTGTGTGTTCAATCCCCAGGAGGGGGCGTGTAGGAGGCAGCTGATGACTCATCAATGTTTCTCTCTCCCTTCCTCTCTGGGATGCTGTAGCACCTGCAGCAAGGTGCTCTTAGGAGGCACCCGGTACAGTTCTGCCCTGTCCTCATCTTCAAAGTAGATCTCTAAATTATCAGGGCAGTATTTTTGCTCTAAGTCCCAAGAGGGTGTTTCACCAAACATCACAATTAGATGATCAATAAACCTGGAGTCCTCATGAAAAGCAGAGATGAAGTCCGACTGGGCATACTCCGGGTACAGAAAGAGCACAGGCCAGCTCAGTCTGCCCTGGTCATCTATACTCAGCCTGGTGCCATAGGGCTTCTCAAAGCTGAGCCCATCCAGGAGTGCACTTAGACCTTCTGAGGCAGAGTCTTCATCCTCACTGGCAGCTTCAGAGACTAGCTTGATGTTCCTAGCCTTGATGGCCTGGAGTAAAGCCTCATTCTGATTCTGCTCCTTCTTCTCTTTCAGCTTTGCTTTCCTTATATCCCTCTGTTGAGTCCGCTTTAGTCTGTCTGCTTTAATCCTCATTTCCAGAAGCTTCTTCTCTTTGGCATCTATCTGCAGCCCCTCGTCACACCAGTTCACAGTCTCAGGAAAGTTTTTCAGTTCCAGATGGCACAAGGCACCTCTTACTATTGCTTTAAGGTGGCAGGATTTTAGCTTTCTGGCAGCTGTCACATCATTGAGAGCAGAACGAAAATTGCCCAGATAGTACTGTGCTGCTGCCCGGTTGGTGTAAAGAACAACATTCAAATCAGGGTCTGCACATTTTTTCTTTAAGCCTTCAGTATACGAAATCACAGCTTTTTCATAGTCTTTTTCTTTAAAGTATTCATTGCCCTCATCTTTATAGGTCTTGGCTTGTTCTTCTGGAGGTCGCTCGTCATCAAAAATAATTGACTGCAGGCAAGCCAGGTCAGGATTCTCCTTGGGATCAATTTCTGACGGTGCTTTCTTCATAAAGAGAGGGATCTTTTCAAATTCCTCTTCCCAGCGGTCCTCGCGGAAGCGGCCACGGTAAGGCTGGCTCTGGAACTTCTCCAGGAACAAGTCCTCGGCGTCCTCGGAGGCGGCGTCCGCCATGGCACCTCGGGGACCCTCCGCCCCAGAACGGAAAATCTTGACCTCCCATGGAATGCATTGTACAAACAAAACTGAAGAAACATGATTCCTAAAGAGAAGTGCTTTGTACCTTCTGAACAAAGCAAACAGCCAGCAGATAGATTATTTTTACTTCAAATGTGAAATGAAATACTGGAAGACAAAATTATTTTACAACCGTTAATGTTGAGCAGAAAATTAAAACAACATAGAAAGTGGTGTAAATTTTGTGAAAGACCTGAAAACATTTCCCTCTTTTGCTTCTTTTATTTCTTGGGTCAGTTTTGCCATTATTTAACCTTTAACCTGAGAATAATTACTTTTTGATTTCTGAAATTCTCTACTAGAAAAAGTAAAGTTAAGAATAGGAAAAATTGGTCCAGATAAATTTTCAAGTCACTTCTAGTTCCGATGATTCTATATAAAGCTTCTTTTCTGGTTATAGAGGTAACAGAGTCCATATCAAAAAATTTATTTTAGCCTGGCCTGTATGGCTCAGTGGTTGAGCATCAACCCATGAACCTGGAGGTCACTGTTCATTTCCCAGTCAGGGCACATCCTGGGGTAGCAGGCTCAATGCCCAGTAGGGGGCATGCAGGAAATAGTCCATCAATGTTTCTCTCTTATTGATGTTATCTCTCTTCCTTTCCCTTCCTCTCTCCGAAATCAATTTAAAAAACATTCATTTTAACATAAACCTTGAGGACACTGTGCTTAGCAAAGTAAGGATAAACACTGTAGGATTCCTCTCCTATGAAGTGGATAAAACAGTCAAAATCATCGGACAGCTGAAGGTGGGTACTGACTTATGGGAGACAGGAGGAGGAATCAGTGCTCAGTGGGTATAGAGTTTCAGTATTACAAGGTGAGAAAGTTCAGACCTGTTGCACAACCGTGTGAACAGACTTAACACAACTGAACTGTACACTTAAAAAATTAAGTGGGCAAATTTAATAGTATGCGGTGTGTTGTGTGTGTGTGTGTGTGTGTGTGTGTGTGTGTGTGTGTGGAAGGGGGTGAATATAGTTTTAGTTTGTCCTAAAAGACCATTCTGGACTGCAGACTTCCAAAGAAGACACAACCTAACACACATACCCCTTACGTTTCACAGGACAGGGAAGGCTGTGGGTTTGAGCTCCCAGGACATCCCTCTATCCAGGCAAAAGGTCGAGCGCTGCGAAAGGCCAAAGCTAAAAATAAAGTGTGGCCCTGATCAAAGTAAGGAGCTGGCCGGGGGCGGGGAAGGAGTCCTGCCAAATTAACACTTCTATAGTATATCCTTCCGTACTCTGTGGTCACCTCCTCAGCCAGGGGAGGCAGACTGGTTCTCCTATGATAGTAACTTCAACAATGATACAAATAATGGAGTAGCATCACAGAGTAGTTTCATTCCTATAGAACTTTTGTTCCCAACAATCAAATGTGATTGGACTCTAATGTAGGAGGAGCTCTTTGGCTTCAATGGAGAGGATGGACTGGAGACCAAAAGATGGTTCTCGTAGACCATCTATGCACCCCTCTGCCTCTTGCCCATGAATGCAAGGTCTCCGGAAAGACACTGCACCACACAGCGGAAGCATCCAAGGCACTGAGCCTGCCTGGAGTCTATCCGGGGTCTGGTGGGACTGCGTGGATGAGAAGAGGGCAATAGCAATGAGGAGTGTCTGCAGCCTGTGCGTGTGCTTGGAGCGGAGATGTTATGCATCATCCCCTCTCCCCTATGATCCTGAACGTGTCTCTGGAGATCTAAATAACTGGTGCCAGCTGGACTGTTTATAAGGTGGCATTTCTTCAGGAAATTGTGCAAATAGTTCTTCTAATGCAAGTCAAATCTTTTCAGGACTGGCAAGAAGCCTTCTTTCCCAACCTCCGAGGAACAGAGAGAGAGATCGGACTCTGCTACTTAGCAAAGTTTTCACATTCATCCTACATTCGAGTGTTTGATATTTTCCCTCTTGTTAAGAATCATGGGAAGGTGGTGAAGAACAAGTTGGGTGATTTCTTCAGTCTTTTAAAGGGGTATCTGCTATGTATGTAAGGCAGGATAGGGCTAGGAAGTCCTAGAGACTGCCTTCTCGAAGCTCAGATTCTAATTGGAGAATGAGGGCAACAATGACATACAAAGTACACAGTCCGGAAGAGAGCGTGCTCCTGCTAGAATATCCAGGAAGAGAAACGTAGCAGGGAAATGACTTAATGCAAGGAACCACACATTTAAGACAAACTTAATCTAACATTTTATAAAACGGTGTCATTCCTAAAGTCAGAAAGATTCAACCTGTTTCATGGCACCTGTAACTGTAAACCTACTTTTGCCCACCCTGTATATTACTCTACAGATATCTGCATAGAGACCCCTGCTGACCTGGTCCTTCGAATTTCATTATTTGGGTTATCAGTGTGACAGCAGAGGGAAAATAACCAAGAAAATCATGCATGTCCAAGATCAGAGCCTCCTGGAAGACATTTAACCCCATACATTCCAATATGAGCTCTTGGACGTTCTGAGTCAGCCTGCCTTACCTTTTTTTTAAAAAGACATGCACTGGTTATTCACTAGGTCAAAGGCAGAGAGAAGGTGACTGCCTTCTTGGGCTTTTCCTTTGAGCTGTAAGGACCTGCGAGGCGGTCCTCAGTGCCCCTGCTTTCTATTACAAAGGTCAGACCAGGTAGGAATTCTTGCAGGAACTGGTTCCCGAACTGCTGCACCCAACTCTCCAGAGTTTGTCATGACTTTGTCTTAGAGTTCCAGCCTAGAGGCATTAAGAAGATGGAGACAGGAGAGGGAAGAGGTTGAGACATGTCTGCTATACAAATAGAGGAACACAGTTATATTCCAGCAAAGGTAACAACCAGATCCCCTCCATAAATGTTCACTCTTTTTAGCTCAGACATTGTTTAGTTGTTGTTTTTTAAGGGGACATCTGTAATAGTTTCAACAATAAAGATAAATTAAAAAATGAATTAAATGCAGTGTGAGTTTTACAATTTTATTGAAGAGCACTTGGAAGAAAATTAGTGTTTTACATTAAAAAGTAAACATGCCATGTGTACAGACAGTGGGGTGGTGAGGGCCTGGGGGGGGGGGGGGCTGGAGAGAGTCAATGGAGGAAGAAAGGGGGACATATGTAATACTTTCAACAATAAAGGTGTTGTTGTTTTTTAAGTAAAAATGAAAACAGTGGACTCTGAATCATCAAAGAACAATTTCTTCAGCCCTGTTGCTCTGTCTCAGTGGTTGAGTTTCCATCCATGCACCAAGAGGTCACCATTCAATTCCAGGACTCATGCATGGGTTGCCAGCTCGATCCCCAGTAGGGGGTGTGCAAGAGGCAGCTGACTGCTGAGATCAGTTTGGTTCAGTGGATAGAACCTCAACCTGTGGACTGGAGGGTCCCGGGTTCAATTCCGGTCAAGGTCATGTACCTTGATTGCAGGCACAACCCTGGTGGGGGGTGTGCAGAAGGCAGCTGATCAATGTTTCTCTCTCATCAGTGTTTCTGACTCTCTATCCCTCTCTCTTCCTCTCTGTAAAAAATCAATAATATATATATATATATATATATATATATATATATATATATATTTTTTTTTTTTTTTTTTTTTTTTTTTTTAAAGAAGCAGCTGACTGATGTTTCTCTCCCGTAGATGTTTCCATCTCTCTCGCCCTCTCTCGCTTTCTCTGAGGACCTCCTGAGAATGTCAGCAGGGAGTGACAGAGTAGGTCCCTCCCTTCAGGTGTGATTTCATAAGTTGTTGGGGGGGGGGGAAGAGACCCAGACATAGCATGTAATCTTCCTAGTTACCCTCCCAGTGGATAACTAACACTCTTAGCTACTTCCCCTTCCCACTAACAGTCCCTCTTTCTCAATCACAGCTTAGGGAATTTAGAACGTAAACTTGAAATCATACAGAACACTGAAAATTTCTCAGGCACGGCAGAGGCATGGCCTAATTAATACACGAGTGTGTGATTTAAATGGTGGCAGCATTGCATTTAATAACATGGAAATCAAAGCCCTGGTTCCACCCCCTACCTGCTCCTGTTTCCTGTGGGTGTAGGACCGTGGTTCTCAGCAGCTGCCTCCTGGCGGAACAACCCCCGGATCGCGTCGTCTCATGGGCAACGCTCTCTGGCGGAAGGAAAACGATGGATTCACAGATGCAGAGATGGTTTCCATTTTAATGTGCATGTCTTTTTCGAAATGTAGGATGACTTATTTTCATAGCAACAACATAAATCAGAAATAAGTGTTTCTTTCAATGGAGCAACATTTTCAAATGCCTAGCAGTCAGATAGCAATTGCTAATTGTGCTCTATTCAACTCCAAAACAGTGGTACTGGTGGGCTTCGTGTGCAACTCAGTTAGCGGTGGTCACGCTGTATCACACACTCTAACGTATTTGAGTCACAGCTCCAAAGCCAGGTCTGGGTGTCAATGCCTATCGCCTGGGCCTGGGCCGGGGTCTCCATTCCACCACCGCAAGCGCTTGGACCAGCGTCGTATACCTCCCTCGGAGGGGGCACTTCTCTCCCCTCCGCGCGGGAAACCAGCGCAAACCTGCGTGGGGTCAGACTACGGTCCATGTTCAGGGAACATGGGAGCTATGGGAGCCATGGGAGCGGTTAGGGAAGGAGGGAACCTCGCTTAAAACTGAGACCATGGCCGAAACCGGTTTGGCTCAGTGGATAGAGAGTCTGACTGCAGACAGAAAGGTCCCAGGTTCAATTGCGGTCAAGGGCACATACCTTGGTTGCGGGCACATCCCCAGTGGAGGATGTGCAGGAGGCAGCTGATCGATGTTTCTAAGTCTCTATCCCTCTCCCTTCCTGTTAAAAAAAAAAAAAATCAATAAAATATATTAAAAACAAACCAAAAAAACAACCATCTGAGCCCATGGCTGCCGTCCTACACCTGGGGAAGGGCAGGTACCTGGGTCAGGAGCCAGGAAACACATGGCTGCTGGGCGGCGCTGCCTGGAGGGAAATTAGGGGGGAAGGTGGAGGCTGGGAACCCCGCTGCCTCGCCTCGCAGTTCTGCCCCGGCCTGGAGCGGCCCCACAGCGCTGGGCCGAGGCCTTGGGCCAGTCACTCTGCAAACAGAGGCCACACAGCCCACCTCGCTTCTGCTGAAAGCGTTAACGGGATAAGGGCCCTAAGGGCTTAGTGCCCTGCGGAGCGCCGAGTAACCTCCACGTTCGCCCTAGCCTAGCCGGTCGGCGCGGTGGATGGAGCGCTGGCCTGCGCACTGAAGGGCCCAGGTTCGGGTCGGCCAAGGGCACAGGCCCGGGTTTCGGGCTCCATCCCAGTAGGGGGCGCGCAGGAGGCAGGTGATCAGTTGTTCTCTCATCACTGATGTTTCTCTTTCTCTCCTTCTCCCTCCCTCTCTGAGATCAATAAAGAAACACATTTTAAACAACAACAACAACAACAACAAAGTAACCGCGAGATCAGTGACCTGGGGACCCGCTAAGGGCCAGCGGGGAGCTGGACTTAGGGTTTGGAGATTTTCCCCGTCGCCCGGCAGCCAGGCCAGTCCCACCCCCCACCCCTCACCCCTCACCCCCACCTCCACCCCCCACCTCCGCCTGGCCCCCCTCCGCCTGCCCCCCCACCCCCGCCTGCCCCCCCACCCCCGCCTGGCCCCCCTCCGCCTGCCCCCCCACCCCCGCCTGCCCCACCCCCCACTTGCCCCCCCTCCGCCTGCCCCCCCCCACCCTCCGCCTGGCCCCCCTCCGCCTGCCCCCCCACCTCTACCCCCCGCTCCGCCTGCCCCCGCGCCCGGACGCAGAGGCTCGGCAGGCGGACCCGCAGCCCGGAGTGGCCCCCGCGCGGCTCCCGGGCACCGGCTCCCGGGCACCGTGTCTCCGGGCGGCGGTGGAGCGGGGGTCAGGGCCACGGCGCCAGCCGCCCCGGAGGCCTCGGCGGCGGGATGCGGGCGGGGAGGCGGCGGGATGCGGGCGGGGAGGTGACCATCCTGGGGAGGGCGCGCGAATGAGCCTGGCGGGCGGAAGGGGGCGCCCCCGAGCCCGCGTTCCCCGCCCTCCGGTCTCTCCGGAGGCTCGGGACCCGGGGGAGGTCCTCCCGGGCTGGGCCGCTGCGGGCTGCGGGGCGCCCTGATCGGAGCCCCGTTCACACCCGCCCCGCAGCGCCGCCCCCAAAGCCGCGAGGACCCGCTGGGCGGGGAGGGGAGGGGAGGCGGGCAAGGACCCTCCTCCCCGGGCCTCTGTTGTTGATTGATTGATGTCTTTTTAAAAGTAGGAAGGTTTTTATTTCTTAGGGTTGCGTGCTATTTACAAGTTATTTTGTTTTGTTTTTTAAATCCTCACCCTAGGTATTTTTCCATTGATTTTGGGGGAGAGAGAGGGAGAGAGAGGGAGAGAGAGAGAAGCATTGATGTGAGAGAAGCACATGGATTGGTTGCCTCCTGCCAGGCCGGACAGGGGAGGAGCCTGCAACCGAGGTCGGTGCCCTTGACCCAAATGGAACCCAGGACCCTTCGATCTGCAGGCCAACGCTCTATCCGCTGAGCCAAACCGGCTGGGGCTATTGGGCTATTGGCAAGTTTTTGATAAAAATTAGGGACTTAGGCTATTATTTTGAGAATAACTGTATGTGATCTCCCTCTAGTGGCCTCGTGGAATAATGTCAGGAAATTCAAACAAGCCTTCCAGAGCTCAATTCACTCATTCAAGTCCTGAATATCTGACAGCTGTGTCATTCCTCATTAATTTGACTTTAGTGTTTTCTGAAGCAGTAAATCAAGTTGTGCTATGGTCCCAGGAACACCTAGTGCCTAACCAGGAAACTTGGCACTTTCTGAACCTGGCAAAACAGTAGCCACCTAAAACAATAATTACTGTGTTATTAGCACCTTAGTAGTAATTCAGAAATATATGTCATTGTTGACATAGGATAGCCATGGTAAGTGTCATGTAAATGACTTTATAAAACATGCATAAGGAGGACAAATAGCATAAGATAAAATAGCAGAGTCAAAAATGTTAAATATGTGTAAGTGATTCCTTTGCAACTTCCTTTGAATCCATATTTCAAAATAAATTTTTGAAAATATCACTGGTCATGAGAAATGGAAATGGATCCAAACTCTCCAGCTAGAAGAATAAGGGTGTCAATTTAGAATTTTTTAAAATAAAAAAGAAAATATAGACTTTACAGGGAACATATCTCAAACATACAGAATGGTTAGAAGTGAAGGAGTATAAAAATATAAATTAGGCAAATACAAACTCAAGGAAAGCAGGTATTACTCTGCCCATTTAGGGGAAAGGAACTTTAAGAAAAAGCATTACTGTTGATAAAGAGGACTACAACTTAATGATAAAAAGTTAAGTTCACCCAGAATCTTGTATAACTTTAAAAACAAAGCCCTAAAACATGTAAAGAAAAACCTGACAGAACTACGGGAGAAATGGACAAATCCACCATTATAGTGGCCATGATTTTATATGGCAGACAGTATGCTATAGACCAGTGTTTCCCAAACTTTTGACATATGTGTACCCCTTCTATAATTTTCGTAACACTGAGTACCCCTTGTACTCATGAGAACATAGAATTAGGCGCAGCTAAGCACAGTGCAGTGCATATCCTCCCCAAACTCTTCCCGTACCCCTGGGGGTATGCATAACACACTTTGGGAAACACTGCTATAGACAATCATATTTCTGCTGGTGTAATTTCTCCTACTTTCTATAATGAAATTTCATATACCTATATTTCATAGTGCACTACAAAAATTAAGGTGAGCTCCTGGTGCTCCATTATTGGGGGGAAAATTATACTAAAAATTGAAGCATGTTAGTTCCCTAATTATTCAACAAACACTTATTGAACAACTATTATGTTTAAGGTATCATGTTGGAAGAGTCTGTTGCTATACATACATAGTCAGCATTTAATACCCACGCATAAACTGGAGTTTCATAGAGATTTGTAGCAAAAACTGCCCTGAAGTCTTTCTCGCCCTCCCTACAGTCACTCTCAGTTAAGTGTGAGTCTCCTTCTTTTATTGATTGATTGATTGATTGATTGATTGAGGGGGGGAGAAATTGATTTTTGTTCCATTTACTTATGCATTTATTGGTTGATTCTTGTATGTGCCAGACCGGAGATGAAATCCGAAGTCTTGGTGAATCCAGATGATGCTCTAACCCACTGAGCTACTTGGCCAGGACTGTGTTTCCTCCTTAAAGAAATGTCTCTGCCCTGACCGGTTTGGCTCAGTGGATGGTGTCGGCCTGTGGACTGAAGGGTCCCGGATTCTATTCCAGTCAAGGGCATGTACTTTGGTTGCAGTCACAATCCCAATAGGAGGTGTGCAGGAGGCAGCTGATGGATGTTTCTCTCTCATTGATGTTTCTAGCTCTCTATCCCTCTCCCTTCCTCTCTGTAAAAAAAAAAAAAAAAAAAAAAAATTCAATAAAATATATATTTTTAAAAAATAAATGCCCTTGATGGACCAAACAATAGTAAGAGTTTCCAAAATTATTATGTCTTTAGTATATTATCTTTTTTGTTTAATCCTCACCCATTGATTTTTAAAGAGAGTGGAAGGGAGATGGAGAGACAGAAACACCTATGTGAGAGAGACACATTGATTGGTTGCCTCCTGCATGCCTCCAACCAGGGCCGGGAGCCTGCAACCGAGGTGTCCTTGACAGGAATCGAACCCAGGACCCTACCCACTGAGCCAAACAGGCCAAGGCGCATATTATTTTTTTAAATTAAGAAAATACTAAGCAAGAATGAATATGGACAAACTCTGCTGTACAAAGCACCTTAGTTTCAATTAAGAGACTCCCTCTGCCCAGTGGCAGAAACGCTTAGTGTCCCCTTGTCTCTCTGCTGTTTTCCAGTGGAATTTCAGGAATTTCTAAACTCCAGGAATTTTTATTGTTGACGGAAAAACCATTGAAACCTGTAAAGAATTTTTGGGAGTTTATTTGAGCCAAACTGTCAACACATGCCGGGAAGCAGAACCTCAGTGGATTGAGATAATGCTCCGAAGAATGGCGGGTTACATTTCTAATTATACATTGCAATCAAAGGAGGGACATAGGTGGGTGACAAGTTCATTGGTGATGGAGTAAGGAGGTGGGATAAAGGAAAGCAGTGGGAAACCCCTAGAATTGGGTAAAAAGTAAAATGATGGATGTGTACTCAGGTGAGTGCAGGGACAATTAACATGATAACGAAGGAATCTGAGGCATCTGTCCTGGCGCCCACCACATTTGGTTGTGCCCCAGGGGCTCCGGAAAAAGGGAAGTTACATGTTACCCAGACATCTCTCAGATATGTTATCTTAGAGGCAAAAAGGCAAATGGGCTCAGTAAAGAAGATCTAAGTTGATCTTTGTCAGGGAAAATATCGGCCTAGGACAT